AAGAAACCATCCCCAAGCCTGTATCCTGTTGGTTTAACATCAACGGTGTTCAGCAATATCCAGCGCCCCTATTTCAGACACGTGGAAGTCCTTATGCGCCCCCCGACCCCCGCCGAGTGGGTCCACGTGACCAACTCCCACCAATGGGCTGTGAGAAGTGAAGTCCGGTGAGTCGCTCCTGGGCCCAAGCCCCGGAGAGTGGGCTGAGTCGTCCCAGCGCTTTCTTCCAGGGTGGAGACGGCAGAGGGGCCTGAATGGCTGAGTCACACGAGAGGGCCCTTGCCCTGCAGGGTCCTCGGAACCTGTTTGGGGATCAGTTTGTTACTGCCGCTTATAACTCAGCCTAGCCCAACGAATATCAACTCAATTCTGAATTTTTACCTGTTATTTTGATGTAATGAAATTTCCTCAATGAAAGCAGGAGGGCAAACAAGTGATTGGTTTGGCTTCCGTAGCACTGTGGATCGAGAACACACGATGGACTGGGGAAGCTGGCCTGACCCAGGACTACTTGCTCCTTTTCTTTTAATACTGAATGTAGCCAGAGGGCTCACTTCCCCCTCCAGTGGAGGCCACAGTGCTCGGTCAGTTCCTTCCATCGTTTTCAAGATTTTAAGTAAGTTCTACATCTACAGTGAAGGCATACACATCTGATTGGCCAGATGAGGTGACATGAGCAAAGTTTTCAATTATTTTTAATTTCCAAATGAATTTTCCTTTATAAGTAATACATACATTCTACATCCATAAATAATACATTTTATTTTACTGACCTCTGTACTCTAGTGGGAGGATTAAATGGCTCAAATATCTAGGTCACACAAATTATTATTTTGAAATGTTAATTTGAGTTGGCATAAGTATTACATGTATTTTAACAAAGTTGTATTTTAAAGGTGACTTTTATAAACTTGTCTAGTATTTCGATTCATCATAATTAGACTGCTTTGCATTTTGTATGCTGGCTATACAAGTATTTAAAGACATTCTTATGTGCCTTTAATCCTAACCCACATAATTACCACATACCTCATTTTATAGGATTTTTATTGGGGAATGCTTAGTGAAAGTTTCACTTTGCCTTTTCCTTAAAATTATATCTTTTTATAGCACGATGTAACTTTTATTAGGACTTCAGTTATTTGTTTTTAACATGCTTACTTTTCCCCACGGTTAAATAAAATACTTTCCCTTCAGATTTAATTAAAATTTTGGGAGAGTAATAAATATTAATATGTTCCTATAATAGACAATACAAAAAAAAGATACAAAAAAAAAACCACTCGCAACCCCACCCACCAGATGGTGCATCATTCCCTCCAACTCCATATTCTGCTATATAAACTATCATATTCATACTGTATAAAATATCCATATTCATATGTAAAACAACTATCCATATTCATGCTGTATATAACTGTGTATCCTAATTCTTTCATTGCCTATATCATTGTCTTACAGTTTTTAGAGGCTTCCTAGAATTCTAACATCCATATGAACTATAATTTAAACATTCCTGTTGTAGAACATTTATTTCCAATTCACCGCTGTTCTAAACACTGTAATGAATATGCTCATACATCACTTGTGGTAGGCAGAAAAAAGACCCCCACACCAAAGAAGTCCACATCCTAACCCCTGGAACCTGTAAAAACAGCCAGAAGGACTTTGAAGATGGGATAAATTAAGGACCTTGAGATAGGGAGATGATCTGGGTGGGCCCAGTCTAATCACATGGATTCTGAAAATAGGAGAATCCTTCCCAGTTGAGATCATATAAAAAGATGTGACAATGGAAGGAAGCAGTTACCAGAGAGATGCTACATTACTGGCTTTGAAGATGGAGAAAGGGGGCCACGAGCAGAGGAACATGGGTGGCCTGGAGAAGCTGGAGAGGTCAAGGAAGAAGGCCGATTCTCCCCTAGAGCCTCCACATGGGAATAAATCTAGTGCTGCCAACATGATTTTAGTCTGGTGAGACTTGTGTTGGATTTCTGACCGACTACTGTAAGATGATGATAAATTTGTGTTGTTTTAAGCGACTAAGTTTGTGGGAATTTTTAATGGCAGCAAGAGAAAACTAGTATCTGATTTTTGTGCACATCTTGTACTATTTTTTGTAGGAGTCAATTCCTAGAAGAGTCTTCAAGGTCCCTGATATACATTGCCAATGAATTTATAATCACATCAGCAATGTAAAAAGTGCCTGCCTCACTTGCCCCTGCCCACCCTGAAACTTCATTTCCTGTGTCTTGTTGTTTCATGTTTTCATTGACGATAGTAATTATACGAAACACTAGTAGCAGCCAATCGAGGGTTTACTATTTAAACACTCATTTAATCCTCACAACTACTCTATGAGGTATGTTACCACTGTCATCCCCATTTTACAGAAGAGGAAACTGAGGCATGGAGAAACTAAGAAATGTGGTGAAGCTGGAGTTAGACCTCGGGAAGTCTGGCCCCAAAGGGCAGCCTCTTCGGTGAGTTCTCCATTCAAACTGAAAGTCCTAGAAGGCAGGGTCAGTCTTCTTCTCTACCTCCTTGATTACTCAAGTGATTCTCGAGTTTTCCCCACTGTCACTGTAATCCAGGATGACAACAGTGGTCATGAAGAACTCTATGCATGGAGATTGACGTCTGAAAGTTCACTCATATGTGAAGAACTGTGGTAACATTTTCTCCTTGGCTGCTTTGCTGGTGGCCCTTGCTTGTCTCTCAACCACAGAAGAACTGGAGTATTCTTTAATAATTAAGACTCACTTCGACTGCCAGGTAATTGTAATCCCCCTTCCCCCCGATTCCTTTACACTCCCTGCTATATACCAGACCCCACGCCAGGTGTGAGGAACAACGGGGAACCAGACAAGTGGGGAAGGCTGTGTTAGGTGTGATGCTGTAACACAGACCTTTAGCAGGGTCAGGAGTCCAGGCCACGATGCCAGTGGGAGGACAAAGGAAGCGAAGGCCACGCCCCTTGCATTAGGGGCACAACCCGGACTTGGCTTCTCCCGCTTGCGCACATGCCACACAGCCATTGGCTTTAGTCTTATGGGCGAAAGACCATCTTTCAGTCGAAGTGAAGATTTACTTTTTCTCGTACGGAGTGGAGTAAACGCTTACTTTGGTTTCTCACGTTTTCCTGATAGAGAATTGGGGGGTCGATGAAAGTAGAAAAATAAAGTAGATCAACAATCACACTGAACAGAATGTACATCTAACATCTCACTCTCTCTCTTCCCTGGGAGTTTTGAATTTGATTCTGAAAATGCTTTGGGGCTTTTTCATCAACCTAACTTATTTTAGTGTGTGGGAAAATATACTTAACACAAAACTTCCCATTTTAATCATTTTGAAGTGTGCAGGTCAGCGGCACGAACTACGTTCACACTGTTGTGCAACCATCACCACCATCCATTTCAGAACGTTTTCATCTTCCCCAACGAAAACTGTACACATTAAACAACAACTCCCACCCCCCTCCCCTCAGCTCCGGGGACCACTCTACTGTCTCTATGAACCTCACCACCCTACGTCATCTCATACAAGTAGAATCATATGGTAACTGTCCTGTGACCGGCTTAGTTTACTGAGCATCAAGTCTTCATGGTCCCTCCACGTTGTGGCATGGATAAGAATCATCTTCCTTTTTGAGGCTGAATATCCCATTCTATGTACATACCATGTTTTGATTATCCATTCATCTGTCAATGGACAATTAGGTTGTTCTCACCTTCTAGCTATTGTGAATGATGCTGCTACGAACATGGGTATGCAAACATTTGTTTAAGACCCTGCTTTCGATTCTTTTGGGTATATACCTAGAACCTAAATTATTGTAACATTATTCAACATTGGGGGTGGGAAGTCTGCTTTACCCAAATCAGGATTCTAACTTGGCCACCTGAGTAGTCTCTAGCAGCTGTGCATGCCTAGAGGCACCCCTTACAGAAGGGCAACCCCCAGTTGGCAGCATGCCACCCTCCTTGTCCCAGGCCCCCTGGCAGCCATGGCAAAGAGAGATCCAAAGCCAGCATACCCAGCACTCCACTCGAAACTCTCTCCTACTGAATTTCCAATAAAGCAAGACAAAAGGTTAAAAAATAAGACATTTTTATTAAAAGTTAAAAAGGTTTTCAAAGTTTAAACATGCACATAGATACTTCCACTATCTCATGGCTTTCTAAAGTCACTGACAAGCAGATACAAACTGGTCTGGCAAACATGCTTTGGCTACCTAACTCCCCCGAGGTTTTGTATTTGGAGTAAGCCCGCTCGCTCAGGGGAAACCGAACACTTGCCAGAATGTCCCCACTGCTGCTGTTGCCCCAACACAGGCAGGACAGAGGGCAGGGAACACTCTTGTGCTCCTGAACAGGCAGAGCCCAGCTAGGCTCTTGGCTTCGCCCAGGAGCTGCGACCCGCCGGGACCGGAAAGAGCCACGCTCCACCCTGAGCACCGTCTGTCCAGGCAAGGGAGCGGGCTGCTCAGCTGGGCATCTCAACCCGCAGCTCTCAACACCGGCTGCACTTACAGTCCGTGGAGAACCTGAAGCAGAATCCCGACGGTCTGAGCCACGGGTCAGTTCAGTCAGAATCTCTGGGAATGTGACCAGATAAAGGTCATTTTTGAAGTTCCCCGGGGGGGAGGGCGGGGAGGATTCTGATGCCCAAGGAGGGGACAACCAAAGCAGCCCCTCCTTTCTCAACTCTTACCTTCTTAGAAGTACCCCGTGTTCCAATTTAAAACATTTGGCATGTCTGACACACTTCTTCAACTATGAAGAAGTTATGACATATGGATGCTGAAGTTTCCACCAGTGATTTGTAATGGGTTAAAAAAAAAAAAAATAGAGCACCCAGACTTCATTAAAAAAATTTATTTTCATATAAAAGTGCCAAAATATCCACCAATGTCATAATCTATCTCAACAACCAGTTTACGCTAGTAATCAAAACACAAGCCTCTTTATTCACATTGTTTAAAAATCAAATTCTTTTCACACATTCCCACAGTAGCTTGAGTCTCTAGACAGTGGGAAGCTTGCATTCCTATTTGCTGTGGTGGTAGTCCATATGTCCAGGTTCATATAGGCACGAAACGGGTTAAACCCTGGGTAGTATTCCTTGCACATGACAGCCTGGTTTTCCATGTGAGTCGAATGTTCCGTGGTGGGATTGATGGGGCAGCAACTTTCGTATACATCACTTTGCGGGGCCCAGATGGAACCAAAAAGTCCAGACATTGGAGACAAGCTTCGGGTGCTTGTGAGGTAGGGCTGAGGTGTACGTGAGGAGAGGAAAAAAAGAAATTTTTTAGAAAGGCAACATCAAGGTTGAATGCATACCAGTGGACACCACAGTGGTACCCATCCAAGTCACTGGGAAGTCATTAAACTATTCTCAACCCTCTGGGTTGCCTCAACGCCATTTTTCTCAAACAGAGGGTTGTGAAATCCTCATCTCACTGGGTAAACTTATTTTCAACCCAAGGAAGGACCCCCTAGGTCAAATGCTCTCGATCCGTAAAAAGTGTCTTGAGTGGATGTGAGAGGGAGGAGGCATGGGGCTTTTAGGCTCAGAAGGGTGCTGACAAGCAGGAAGCCCTCAGGACCCACTCACGGACCACTGACCAACCTCTTGGTCATTTGGATTCGTTCCTCTCTGAGCATAGATGAAAAGGTCAGCAGGACCGTGTTTATAAACACAGCTGTGTCACAGGGGGCTTCCTGGCCCAAACTCAATTTTATGGACACAGCATCGCTCCTCCGTGTCCTCTGGGACGCCTTTCTCATTCAGGGTGGCTAAACCGCCTGTGTCTGCAAGCCCCCACCTGTCTGACTACGCACTAGGCTCCTTCAGAGGGGGGCTAGCCTGGCTTTTGTGATCTAAAGGAAACAAGCCGGGCTTTGGCCGATCTGAACCTGACTCTGAAGCGAAGTGAGACCAGGATTAAAGAAGCACCAGAAAGAACTCGGAGCTGCCCTGGGGCCACGACACTGACCGGAGAATTGAGGAGACCTGCATGTCCCCAGGCAGTCGGCATGTTGGGCGGGGGGCTCCAAGTAGATGGAGAGTTGTGATCCATAAAGTCTGTCTGAATTTCGGCAGGACAAGGGAAGCCATTGGGGTAATTCATGTTTTCTACAAAGAGTGGAAGACAACAACATACGTAAACATTTTTACGGCAAGATCTGAATTCTCACTCTCAGGCCAAAAGTTTCAAGGCCTTACCGTAGTGCCAAGGTAAAGACAGGCGTAGATACTCACCCCATGGGAACCAGGCGTGCCATTACACTGTCATTAGCAAGGTTAAACCTATCAGATATGCTACCTGGGAAGCCCTCAGGAAGCCCTCAGGAAGGTCTTCCTCTGGCCTTGACGTTCTGTATTTGACAATGTGATGGGAGGCTTTCTAATCAACACTCCTGCAGCCTGGAATCGTGTCCATTCTTACCAGTCCTTAACATTTGCTTTTATTACCTGTCGTGCCGACCTCAGCCTCCTGCACATATACCATGGAACCAGCACTTCTTAGCTAAGCAGGAAGGTACAGCTGTCCCTGCCTTATCCACGGGAGATATGTTCCAGGACCCCCAGTGGGTGCCTGAAGCCACGGATACTCCCGGACCCTGTGTACATTGTTTTCTTCCTATACATAAATACCCGGGGTAAAGTATAATTTATAAATCAGGCACAGCAAGAGATTAACTAATAAAATAGAAAAATTATAACAATATACTGTGATAAAAGTTATGTGAATGGGCCCTCTTTTCTCTTTCCCTCTCAAAATATCTTGTTGTACCGCACTCACCCTTCTTGTGAGGCTGTGAGGTAATAAAGTGCCTACGTGAGGAGAGGAGGTGAGGTGAATGACAGACACTGTGACACAACAGCATTAGGCTACTATCGACCTTCTGACAACACGTCAGGAGGAGGATCATCTGCTTCTGGAAGGCAGCTGACCGAGGGTAACTGAAACCACAGAAAGCACAACACGGATAACGGCGTGCTGCGGTAATATACACAAGCCTCCCAAGCCCGGGAAGAAAGTCACCCCAGCACCCCCCTGTGGCTAGCATGGCACAAGGCAAGTATCAAAATCCGGTGAAGTCCATCTACTTACACGGCTTAGAGCTTCCCTGAAAAGGTAGCCCCACTATGAGAAACCGTGATCAGGTTGTAATGTATAATAAGAACATTTTGCAGCTTATCAGGGAAATCTCATAGCTCTTAGTGTTTATTATTACCGATGCTTGAGCCCAAGCATCTGCAACTTCCCACAGCTTCCCCTCCTGGCTCTCCATTCTGTCCTTCGGCTGCACCACCCAGGGGAAGAAGAGTTAGGCCCTGCTGAGGAACAAGCCCATACTTGTTTCCATTTCACTCGGGACTTGTCTGCCTAAAAAGTACACCAAATATCTAAAGCCTCAACCTCCCAGTGGATAATCTACAATCTTAAGTCCACAGAAATCCAAATGACCCAGGTCTACCAAATCTGAGGGACTAAATAGATCAGGGTTATTTGTAGAAGCCCCCAGACAGCCAGGTTGAGAGGGCTATTTGAGACCATCTAAAATTATACACGGCAGGCCTGCACAACTGAACCCACATGAAGCTACTCGGCAGCTTCCTGTAAGGTCATCCTCAAAGGTTCTCACTGTTAAAGGTGCATTCTTCTTTTTTTAAAAAAATTCAATTTAATTAACATATAGTGTATTACTAGTTTCAGGGGTAGAATTTAGTGATTCACCAGTTGCATAGAACACCCAGTGCTCAACATATCACATGCCCTCCTTAATGCCCATCACCCAGTTACCCACCCCCAGCAACCCTCAGTTTGTTTCCTAGAGTTGAGTCTCTCATGGTTTGTGTCCCTCTCTGATTTCGTCTTATTTTTCCTTCCCTTCCCCTATGTTCACCTGTTTTGTTTTTAAAGGCACATTCCTAACAAACAGCCAAGTAACAACAAAAGACCAAGCTCATGAATACACAGAACAGACTGGTGATTGTCAGAGGCGGGGGAGGGAGGGGGTGGAGGGGAGTGGGGTGTATGTAAAATGGATGAAGGTGCTCAAGCGGCACAAACTCCCCATGATAAGATGAATCCATCCTGGAGATAGAGTGTACAGTCATGGTGAGCAGTGTTAACAATATCCTATCGTGTATTTATAAGTTGCTAAGAGAGATCTTAAAAGTTTTCCTCACAGGGGTGCCCAGGTGGCTCAGTCATTAAGCGTCTGCCTTCAGCTCAGGTCATGATCCCGGGGTCCTGGGATTGAGCCCCGCATCGGGCTCCCTGCTTGGCGGGAAGCCTGCTTCTCCCTCTGCCTCTGCCGCTCCTCCCCTGCTTGTGCTCTCGTTCTCAAATAAATAAAATCTTTAAAAAAAAAAAGTTTTCCTCACAGAGAGAACATTTGTAATCATGTACAGGGATGGGTGGTGACTAAACTTACTGTAGCCATCACTTCCCAGTATATACCAATAGCCAATCATTACGTCGTACACCTGAAACTAATACAATGTTCTGGGTCAATTATATCGAAGTTGCTTTTAAAAAGGTACATTCTGGAGGAGATTATGCTAAGTGAAATGAGTCAAGCAGAGAAAATCAACTATCATATGGTTTCACTTATTTGTGGAACATAAGGAATAGCATGGAGGACATTAGGAGAAGGAAGGGAAAAATGAAGGGCGGAAATTGGAGGGGGACACGAACCATGAGAGACTATGGACTCTGAGAAACAAACTGAGGGTTCTAGAGGGGAGGGGGTGGGGGGATGGGTTAGCCTGGTGATGGGTATTAAAGAGGGCACGTACTGCGTGGAGCACTGGGTGTTATGCACAAACAATGAATCATGGAACACTACATCAAAAACTAATGATGTAATGTATGGTGATTAACAACATAATAAAATTAAATTAAATTAAAATTAAAATTAAAAACAAACAAACAAAAAGGTACATTTCTTCTGCAGTTAGTGCCTCAGGTCCATCCACTTTTTGCTCCGACTTTTCTGAAAGTAAAAGAATGGCATCGGATTGTTTGAGCAGCTTTTACCTTCCGGAAAGGCATTATAATCGTTCAGTTCCAACGGACAGTACACGCTGGGGAACTGGCCTTCACAGGCTGTGCTCCAGTCAATGAAACTGCTACAAAACACAAGAGGTCTCGTTTCAGAAGCAGGACATCAAAAGACCGAGTGAAGAAAGAGAACGATTTCATGGCCCAGCATCCTAGTCACTGCTCATCCCTCGGTTTTGGAAGAGAAAAGATGTACTTTCTCAAGTCCCGGGATCAAAGACTTCCTGACTGAACGCTCCCCGTCAATGACAGCCTGGCAGGACGGATGGGCTAAGTCCACCCGGAGGCAGAATCCAAGGCCGTGGCTTTGGAGCTCTCTGGGAGAGTGACTGCGCTACCCCGAGGCTCTCAGCCTCAGCAGGCGTGGCTCTAAGGCGTCCCCCTCACCTGGGGCAGGGTCGGCATTCCTCTCAGGGGGGCCAAAACCAGCACGACTGATTCGTGACAGATACTCTGATCACGATTACAAACTGGAGTCTCATGATAGAAGAAAGTCAATACCACTGTAATAAACTGAACCAAAAAAGAAAACCTCAAATAGATTCCGTGATTAAACATAGATGCCACCATTTTCTCAACGGTCTTTCAATACTCAAACTATCTGATCTTTCTTAACATTTTAAATGTGTTCGTGATGAATGCCACGGAAAAAGGGAAATCTCTGCTCTGTCAGGTGGTAGTAGTTGTGACTGATTGTTTTTCCAAACAGGCCTCTATTAACAGACCATCTCTTCAACTTAAGGAGGGAAGTAATGATGTGGTCAGCAGCTATGTTGCTCTTATTTCCTTTCATGTTTCTCTCACCCAGGCTTTGTTGTTTTCTAAGACATCACAACGCAACTTCAAGAGGCAGATGGAAACACCCAGCTAAGGTGCACGGGGGAAGGAAGCCTGGCCCCCAATTTTGCAAGGCCTGCCTAACAGACTGAACTCCAGTCCCCACGGCAAGCCCCTGGGCTAAGCGAGGCAACGACCAGAGAAGAGACTCCGTACCTATTATGCACGGGGGCCGGGCCCTGCATCACGCCAGGCACGCTGTTCTCCACAGCGCAGCTGAAGCTGCTGGTCACACACACGGGCCGCGTGGGCCACAGGTCTCCGGGTGGGTAAAGACCTAAGGAAGAGAACAGGTCCTTGCAGCCCACCCTCTTCCCTCCTCGGCCCTCGGCCCATCCTTCCTGCGTCGTCTCTTCTTTCCTTCTAGAAAACACTCCCTGCAAGTCACCCACACGTGCTGACCATCTCTGTCTTCCCTGACCCTTTTCGGGATATACTTTCAGGATATAAAGCAGAAAGATGGGGTCTAAGGAGAACACCACTGTTCCACTAACAATTCAACAATAGCAAGTGCAAAATGTATCCAAAGGACAGTGCAGAAGCCCATGCTTTCAAAGTCGGCTCCAAGCTGTAGGGCAGTTTTCAGATCTAGCAGAATTTATATAAGCAAAAGCAAGTCCGTGTATCAGAGCTCAATGATGCCACGGGGAGTGAACATTGGGCTCATCCTGCCACAACCCCCGACCCTAGCCACGCGGGAAGCAGGCACTAGAGGAAAACAGGAGACACGAGCACCTCGGCTACAAGGCAGGGGCAGCCCGAGTCAGAGGCCCCTGATGACGCCGACCCAGACAGCAGGTGCCTCCCAGAGTGCATGGAAGTGCGGTGACGTGGCTCGGACGAGAGGGCCCACACCCCCTGCCACCCGCTCGTCTTCACCAGCTCCCTGGCCTGCCATGTGGAGGGACCCCTGGCTGGTGCCTGAAGAAAGAGTCTGCATCTCACCTTTATCTTCTTCAACACCTGTGGGCCCGGCAGGAAGGCTGGGACAGGGAGGTTCTGCATATCGTGGGAGGTTATTCATGTTTCTGTGGAGAAAGTGAGAAAATGAGGATCTATAGATTTCTTCTGTACAAGGACATACCAACTTTGTTCAACCAAGTCTGAGTTTTACAGAAATTCTTCCCCCAAGAAACAGAAATACTAGAGACACAAAGGTACACAGCCAGAAAAGGGTTAAGGGATATCAAATTTCCAAGACCCAGCAAAGCCATACACAACAAAATCAGTTTAACTGAGGCCAACTGCAGGCTCCCGTCTGCCCAGCAGCAGCCGGCAGGAGGTATCGATCCCTAGTTACTGTACGCTCCACCGCTCCCAAAACAGTCGACAGCTTGCCTTGTCCCCCTGCTGAACTTCCTCCTTCACAGGCACATCCATCTAATGTTAACGAGAGCCTCCTGTCCTCTCACAACGCGACTAGCGCCTAAGGAAATGCGATCACGTTCTCACTTGAAAACCCTCTGCTTGCTGAGTCCTCTCCTTCTGTCCTGCTCAACAAAAGCCACTTGTCTATTTTGTTCGATGGGGCAGCAATCGTCACAGAGTGGAGTCATAACCATGGGAGGATTGGCTAGCTTCTTGCAAAACTCCCTACGTCATCAGTGCTGTTTTATTTCAAGCGCTAGCAAATAGTAGATGACGCCCATCCCTACAATAACTGCAGTTTCTCTTTCTGCCTTCAGGAATGAGATATGTTCTTTTTTTTTTTTCCTTAAGATTTATTTATTTGAGAGAGCGCACGCACAAGCTGGGGGAGGGGCAGAGGGAGAGGGACAAGCAGACTCCCCTCTGAGCCTGAGCTCCCAGCCCAATGGAGCCCAATGCGGGGCTCGATCCCAGGACCCTGGGACCATGACCTGAGCCGAAGGCAGACGCTTTACTGACTGAGCCACCCAGGCGCACCAGAAACGGGATGTGTTCTAACGTGGTTTTATCACTGGCAGCAACAGGGCTCCCACAGGAAACATGTGTACTCAGAAGGATCCTACTTTCTGAATTATGAACAAAATTGGATGTTACTTTCATTCTTAAAAAGCTTTCCTATTTTCACCTGCAGAACCAAGTACAAAGCAGCAAGCAGCAGTGACAGAAAAAGATAGTACATAAAACACACTATAAAAGCTAGAAAGTTAAAAACTTACGTGGAATTGCAGATGTTATGAGAAAGATTCAAGGAGATGGGAGTTTCTGAAGAAAAGTCATTTTGTGAAACACTGTCTCCTGCATAAAAGCAAAAAAATTATCACAAGCTTTTACAAATGTAATTTAACTGCATTATGTATTAAAGGGCAGACTGCTAATTATCACTAACCCTGAATGAGCAATTTATTTCTCACTTTTAACTGATTTTCACATTAGTAATTTTATTTTCTAAAAATCTCTATTATATTTATCTTTTCATTGAAAACTTACTAACTTAAATTTATGGATTTTGGACTCACAGTGTTTTAATTATGGAAAAAAGCTGAAACTGTTATTATGTAACTTTCTCATAAGGATTTTTCTGATAAAAGAAATTTTGCAGACACCTGGGTGGCTCAGTCATTGAGCGTCTGCCTTCAGCTCAGGTCATGATCCCAGGGTCCTGGGATCGAGCCCCGCATCGGGCTCCCTGCTCAGCAGGAAGCCTGCTTCTCCCT